TCGCAGCTGAGGAGGCGATTGAATTGACCTGAGCCTGCACATGGCGTGGTGGTTTTTTCCAACGTTTAAGACTAGCCACAATGGAGAGTAACATACACTAGTAACATACACATCTCCCTAGACTATGTTAGTACCTCAATAGTGGGTAGTAACATAAGTGTGGTAATATGCAAAGCTTCATTTATTAGGTTATAGACTCATATTGCATTGGGACATGTGATGTTACAGTAACTAGCTAAGTTACTAGTACTATATCTCTCCTCATTAACTTACTGCCACATAAGCAAATTTGCTGAGTTGGACTCGATGTTACTATCAAAGCTACTCCCACTATGGCTAGTCTAAACCCGCGTCCCTCTCCTCCACCTCAAGCTCAACACATCGCGTCGTTCCTCACCCCTGACATGCGGGCCCACATATCGTTGCGGGCCCACCCGTCAGTTGTACGGTAGGTGAACGTGCTGCGTGTGCCTAGCTTGGGAGCTGGGCCTGTCACCGGTGTCGGTCGAGGGGCATTCACTGTTCATTTGTTTTGGTTTGCTGGCTGTGAGATGGCGAGGGCAATTAAGAGACCCTGATCAAACGAGTAAATTATGGTCTGCCTACGTAAGCGAAAAGCAAGCCTGTGAGTCCAGAAGATTATAGTTTTGGAACGGTGCAGGAGTATTTTTTTCAGCCACGTGACATCACCGTGGACTGCCCAAGTGTGCACACAGAACAAACTAGTCTTCACGCAGTATACGTTTTAAACGAGGCAGTTCTGGTACACAGCAGTAACCAAAACCGACACTAGTTTTGCAATGATACATTTTTTTTCTTGCGGGGTAAGTTGTGCACTGGTACAGTACCGTCCGTCTGTACGTGGTGACGCAGACCAGCAGATCGGATCTCCTTATAGTATTACTAGTAGAACCCTCAAACCCTCAAATCTAAAAATCACTTTTAAGGGTTGAGTTGTGCCACTTTTTGACACTTTTAAGGGTTGAAAAACAGTGGTAAATACTAGAACCCTCAAACCCAACCCGTAAACTGCTTTAAGGATTGGATTTGAGGGTTCTAGTCTTTGCCTCAACCCCAACCTTTAAATCTATCATTTGGCATCTCATAATTTATGACAACAAGAACACAATCAACTTCCAAACAAACTATCAAATGACAATCACTGATGCATGGTTTAATAGTTTACATCACAAAATCATCATCTTCCTCCTCTCATCGGCACCATCACCAAAAGTTGCACATCGGCGCCATCTCCTAGACCACAAGCGGGCTCCATCAAGCATCTCCATCGCCACCGATGGAGTCGTACACACCGCCATCACCACAACTACTCATTGGAGTGTCACCTCGAAAAGTAGAGGACGCAACACGAAACATCATCTTCCTCTCCGCGATGTCCTCCTTGTAGTCCTTCCACCATTGCAATTGGTCTTGATCCATGTCCTTCTTGGACATCATCATGTGCTCTTTCTCCTACACCATGAGTTCTTTCCATACCTTTGCCTCTTTGAGCTTGATCATCCTCTCCTCCAACTCGGCCTTGCGCTTTGCTTCTTCACGCTTTGCTTCAACTTGTGCAAGCTTGACCTCTTTCTTCTTCTCGGTGATAAGAAGCTTCGTCTCCAATGTCTTCGTTGTCAATTCCTCTCTTGCCTTCATCATGTGGTCCATCTTCTCCCTTAGGCTTGACGCCTCTTCTTCCATCTTCACCCTTAGCTTGCCCTTCTTGTTTCCCTCGGGCTTGCCCACGTTCCTCTCCTCCTCATCTTCACTATCATCCATCCTTAGCATTGCCGACTTCTTGGGTGCGGTCTCTTGATCCCTCAACTTCCACTTGTCAAAGGTTTGAAGAATTGACCAAACATGCTTAAATGGGAACGCCTTGCCCTTGGAAGCAGCCATCTCCTTGTACCTCATGCCGGCAATTGTCTCCTATCAACCACACATAAATCACATAAGAACCCACCAATAGCATAGTGCACACACATAATCAAAATAGTGAAGAAATATGTACTCACATAGTCACTCTCCACGGTTCCACTAGGTGGTGCATCTATCACTTGGTCCATGGCCGCACTCCAACGAGAACAAGCGGGCTTGATCAATTCCCACCGGCCTTGAAGCGACCGGAAAGAGCGATGGATGAACCCACTATTCTTCGGCTTGATCTTACAATAGACGTCCTCGATCCTTTGCCAATACCGTTTACCGGTTTGATCGGTGCCGGTGGTTGCATCCATTCCCACAACTGCCCAAGCACGAACCAAGAGGACATCTTCCGCCTCGGTGTAGTTTGTCGACCGCGCGTGTGGGCGGGAAGCGGCGGTGAATGCCTCCTCCCCTATCTCGGCCACCTCCTCCTCGTCATCCCCCACCTCCTCCTCATCTTCCTCCTTCTCCTCCAAGTCGTCACCAACCCTAAAGGGCTCTAGAGGCGGAGCTCCGAGGTCCACCTCCGCGTTTTGGAGGAGGTCCATGAACGAGGATGGGTTTGCCATTTCCTCGAACACCTCGTGCGCGGCGGGAGGAGGTTGGGCGACGGCGGCCGCCGCCGGCTTCTTCCG